TGCAGCATCAAAATCAAAAACGTGAAAGAGAAGAGGGTGTTTAGTGTGAAGCACATAACTTTATCCATTCAAGCTAACATTGCAAATGTGTTGTCCTGTGAAACCCACTACTCCGTCCTAATAACCTCCAACTGACATTTCATCTGAGACATGACAAGTGACTGATCCTTAACTAAACCTTCAGCAGGACTCACACTAAGCCATTTTCAGGATCTGGGTTAGTCTCATCCACTCAAGATTAACCCCTGAGACACGTCACTGTGGATGACGCTCCTGGATATTATGAAGGCCTCTTGTGTCACCTGACGAAAGACGCCCCTCCCCATTGATCTGTCCTGTTTTAGTCTGAATCACTTTCATTGTCAAACAGGATGTTTCATTGACTCTGATGACAGTGAGGGCTACTTTCAAACTGTTATCTCAGTATTATATTATTGTAAACTGAATATCTTTGATTTAGGGACTGTTGTGTGGAACAGCGAAACAGCAAAGTGAAGATCCTTTGGCTCTGGGAATTTACGGGCCACAGCTGCCACCGGAGACACTGTGCTGTACTTTATATTGTTTCAGGGAATTTGTGGGTTTTAATCACCTGAAGAATTTACATTCTACAGATACATATTTTCCATAATTAAGTGCATATTTCTATTAACATTGTCTTGTCTTTTACTATGTGCTTCTGCATTGAATGTTTTATTTAGTACCTGACAGTGTAGTATAACACAGCGTTTGGCTCTGCATGCTTATAATTTATTTTATTAACTTTTGTAAAGTTAATCTTATATTCCTAAATTCTTCTTTTAACATCCGTCCAGGGACCTCAGATGAAAAACAGCCTTTTTGCTAATTGTGGTGCATTTAAATTATTACATATTAATATGCAATGTCGCTGTTTAATGAACCAATAAAAAAAGTTACACAGATTCTAAAATTACAAATTCTTTATATACTAATGAGAGTCGAAATTCTCAATTGTCTCAAAAATATAAACAACAAGATTTGATTTTTTCCACAACCAGAATTATAATCCTGTCATTGTAGGGAAGACTTTGTGTGTGGCTATAACATGTGTAAAAATGTATTTAATTTGTTATATCAATACAGAAAATGTGACTTTTTCAGTGGCTATTGAAAGTGTTTTGGGGTTGGTGCATGTGGTATCTATAAAGTAATGCAGTATTAAATCATTTTATATGGTTGTTGTCTGTAAGTATTACACACAATTTCTGTGATCAAATCTTTTAGCCTTTTGAGCAGAATAGGGCCATTTGTACCTGTCCTTATTTTCATGCAAGAAAATAATAAGGTTACGTAGCAGGCAAAGACATTATTTCCTCCAATGTCCATAACATATATATATATATAAAAAAGTTTCTTCCCGTCTGCAGCTGGC